TCATGCTTAAATGAAAAATAAAAATAAAAAACATTATACATACACTATACAATAAACAGTGTATAATAAACTATACATTATACAATAAATAACTTTCCTAATAGATAGCTGACAAATGAATACTCGGAATTGAAAAAAATCAAATCCACTGTTTAAATCACAGTCATAAATACAAAAATATAAGAATTTGATAATGAAATACAAACATTCAGGTAATAATGGAAGATATGATATTGTGTTTTTACTCCTTAATTGGAAGTATGGAGATATAAACATTCTGCACAACAAACATTATTCTTCAAAAACAATATAAAGATACATACATTATCTTGCAAAAGAATCTGGAAAATGCAGAAATAGAAAACAAAGGAGAGGGAAGGGCATGAAGATTGCTGGTGCATCCTGTATATGAACAAGCACAACGCAGATGCTTAATAAACAGTGGATAAGAATTGCATCGCGTGGCAGTCTAGCAGAAATACAGACCTTACGTGTGCCAAGGACCCAGAGAGAAACAGCCTCCTGAGCACTTAATAAAATTTGGCTACGATCGGCTGAAATGTGAGGTTCAGGCGAGTAGCTTGTGTCCTGGAGTGTGAGCGGCGACCAAAAAAAGTGGCACATCATTAGTACAAGAGAATTGCGAACTACAGAGATGCTCAGAAAGTGATGCATAACAGAGGTTCCTACATTGAATCTTTCCATTTGTATTATTTTGTACTATTGTTCCTTTTACTTCTGTTTAATAAGTACATTAAATTAAATTTTCTAAGCAACATTTGAGATCTGTTTAATAAACTAGTAAAAAAGTAAATTATTAATTGAGAAGACACTAATATAAAAAAAAATTATACTATTGTTGGACTCTATCAAAAAATTTTAGTATCCTACTAACCAAGGTTTTTAGCAAGGTCTAGAAAAAGAAAGATATGATATAGTATAAAGAATATAGTACTAAAAAAAATGGAAATTTTTGATATTGCCACAGAAAAAGAAATATTAACGATTATACTTAATGAAGTAAGGAAAATTAACACTTAAAACAAAGCAATGTGATAAATAAACAACTCTTGCCGATGAGAAATGTGAAATATCCTATTTCTCGTATACTAGAACAGATTTTTTAAATTAAATGAAAAAATTATTTTTTATATAACATAAAATTTAGATAATTTTTTTACGTTTTATTCCTATAAATGATATAATCTGTATTGTTCAATGAACAATGCAGTTCATTGTCATAATTCATAATAAGAAATTTTAGTATACTGTGTTAAAAATATGATTCATGCTATTTTATGTTGCTATAGAGGTAAAGCTTCAGTTATACATATGAGATCAGGCACAAACAATTATATAATTCCATTTTTAATGTGCAATATGTGTATTATTACCGTTGTATTATTAACAACGTAAAACTAATTGAAATTACTATATTTACCTTGACATTTTCTAATTCCGCTCGAGTGACTGTTAATTGTTGAAGTAGTTCTGCAACTGAAACCTTTGGTGGCTTTTGGTGAGCATGCTCAAGTATCTATGTTTGCAAAGAAAAATAGGAAAACAAATTAATATTTTCTTTCTAATTACATATATAAACATAAAATACAATGTTAAACATTTTCATATTAATATATACAGTATTGTTTATGTTTGCAAGAAAATCAATTAATCGAGGAAAGCATTAGAAACAAACTACATTTTAATTATTGAACTGAATTCTTTTATTATTCTCTAATGATTAAAGAAATGATAAATGTTTAAAAGTTACAATATTAACGTCTAAAAATTATAACGTTATATTGCATTACCTGATCCGCTTGTTCTATACGTGCAGCTTCTTGACCTTTGGCATACATTTTCAAGTACATTTGTTTATTTTTCTCTTCTTGTTCATTTAGCACAGACTTTTGCTCGGCGAGTTCATTCTTCACAGCCTCTAATTCTATTTCTAATTCACGAGCTCGAGTTTCTGCAGCATCAACACTTGGTCTGACTTCACAGTAACGTGTATTTACCTCAGCCAATTGATTCAGTAAGCTTTCCACCTGTAATAGAACAATTATTTTATATTCTTTATAAAATAATTATCTACAGTGGATAATATAAGTTAGATAAATGTAGTGTTATAAATAGTGGATGCGAATTTTTCGTTTGGGATCCTATTTTTAAGGGCATTCCAAAATTTTTGGAGACCTTTTCTTAATTTTATTATTTAATGTTTTAGAAGAAATGGAAATAAAGTTAATTGAAATTTTTTGATAAGTATAAACCACTGAATTACAGGGATATCGGATAGATCTGCGTTTATCAACACACGCTACCAATTGTGAAACAGGCTCATGCATAAAAGAGAAATGACTGAAATTCTGAAACTTAGTAAAATAATAAAGTATTTATTTCTATTTATATCTCTGTAACGATGCGTTAATTCGTAAACTTCATATAACACTTCTCTTCTTCTTTTGGTCCGTAGATTAAACTCTCACAGTTTAGCGGGAGAAGGGCATGCTAGAAATTTTAGTATCAAAGTTTGTTATTTATAGAATTTTTAATATTAAGCGTTGATCTTTCCCATTGCGTGGGCAAATCGTGTGGGGATAATGCTCATATTACCAAGGCAGCAGTTGCTTGATATTTCCAATTTTCACACCCTCATAAACACCCAGTAGAGCCATCCGATTGCAGTTCAAAGAACTCCGTGATACAAACAACTCTTGTTTAGGCTGTTTTATTCTCATCCAAGAGCGCGCATACGTTTAAACTCAGTTATAAAACACTCAGGTGGCTAAATAGCAGCTTACTATGCTCCTTCGAATTACTTCTTCACAAGCTACCATAATTTAAGTGGATGAGACCAACAAAAATCGTAGGTACAAAATCCATAAGTCATAAAACAATCTAAGATATCCATTTTGTGTCGAATCTCTAATATAATAAAATCCTATTACATACATTGAATCTCTACCTCTTTAACTTGTTTTGCGAGTCTCTCAAAAACTAAAAGAGAGCATCTATTATATCTATGGGAAAACGTTGTTCGGAACGATGACCTTAACAGCATATTTCAAGATCATTGGAATCTGAGGTAACTTCCTTATTCTCCTATGTTCCAGCGACCGTACCTTGTCATTATGCTTTTGTTTCAGTTCCTGAAGTTCGTCAATGTGTCTACGATGCATCTCCTCGATCCTGGTCTCGTAAAGATTAACCAGTTTCCGTCGTTCTTCGTCTTTGTCTGGCGTAGCCGATCTAACAGATGTCTCGGAGGTGTTGTCTTCGCCAACTTTATTAGGCGCCGCAGCGATATTGATCGCTTCCGGTTGCACCTCCGGCAGATACACCGAGTCTTTCGAGTGAATCGACCCGTCCTCGAAATGCCCAGAGTCCGCCAGAGAAGAAGGCAGGTCCTGACCGCGTTTCTCAGGTGTCTCCGGGCACGGGACCTTCGGCAGCGCACCTTCATCCGGTAAATCCTTACTCGGAGATTCCGGTGAGAAAGGATTGTTTTCCCGTACGGTGAGGGCATCGCTGCTATCCGTCCTCTCATCCGGGCTGTTCAAAGACGCTTTGTACAACCTCAGCTCCACCACCTCCTTCGTTAGCCGGAAGATCTCCTGATCCTTCTCCTCGATCTCTCTCCTCGCGTCCTTTAGCAAAGCCTAAGAACAGAAATAGGTGCAAAAGCGAATGCATAAATAAAGAAATATCTATCTAATACGGAAGTCGAGCGCGTGAGAACAAGCGACAATGTAACACGGTATAGACGCTAGTGAATTCATGCTACGCCATTTCTCTTGCAATCAACGCGTGCCGGAGACAAGGTTCATTAGCGAGCTTCAAAGTTTGTTAAACCCGGATCTGAGAAGTTTGATTATACTGAGAATACGATTGAGACAGATTTCCGGGAGTTATGACAACTTTTGTGTACAAATTCACGAGTACTCGATCGTTAACAAACTACGCAAAGGGGGATGATACAAACGCTGTTGTATACGATATTGAGACAAATTCTGGCGTGGGGAACAAATAACGATACATTTGTTCAGTGATTTTCTGAGAAAATTGGTTTTAGTGATTGTAGAGTGCAGATTATTAATCACCGTGCGGATTGTAGCTTTTAGAATCAATTTTTTGATCGTTCAAATTGATCGATAACTTATGTTTATCATTGAGAATTATATTTGACCTTCAAATAGGATGAACAATTTTGCAAACTTTTGTTAAAGTTTAGATTCCGCTGTATTCGACACTGTCGGCAGCCTATAAATGCGCAACATCCGCAGGAACCTTATAAATGCGTAAATCGCGTATTTATCCTTGACTGAGCTCATAATTCATGTTACGTAATTGTTGTTAAGAATCGTCGTGTAATAAAAACAACAATAAGAAGCATAATCAATCTTTAAAATTATTGGCTACGTTAATTTATTCCTTATAAAAAGGCAAATAATTTTCAACGTAACATTTTTTTTTTTTAATAATGTAGGATATACATATATTTCGCAACATCTTTTAATACATTTTATAAAAAATAACTTTGTCATTTCTTATATTGGAGGCTATTTATAAAGTTCCTTATTAGTCCAAGTCATTCATTATTCACATGTATGAATTATTTCTGCTCAATAATCAATGTCTCCATTGTATGTATGATTACGAATAATCACGTTATTTATGGAAGCCAAGATATCTAGATCAATTCTTGTCTGGTTATGGACGTTCATCGTTATCAAAGATAACACTGTAATATGCAGCCTAGTGTTAATATCATTTAGCAATCGAATCCAATATATTTTTTATTATCGAAGTGTACTAGACGATTGTTATTGTTATTGAATAATTATTTAGTATTCGGTCGCACGCACAAGAGAATGTTTTCTTTCGTGCAAGTGGTCAACGTAATTTACGACTCTCGTTCCACGAAGCTATATTTGAGTTGATATATTTCAGACTTTAGCGTCACATGTTTTAGTAGAGTTTTCTTCCCAAGTCCTCAGTAGCAAATAGAGACTGCCGTAAATTAAGGGATTATCTGAAGGATACTTGAAACAGACTCATCGGTCTTTCGCTAAGTGGGTCTGGCGTGGGTGGCCCAAAGGAAAGTCCCACGGCATCCCCTCCGATCACAATAGTTTAATAACTTCAATGATTCAATAATAGAATATTTTAAGCAAAAAATATTGTAGCAAGGAGGATTTGTGGTCGACATGAACGATGACGTGACACAAGCCATGAAAAAATTATTTTCTGTCTTGAGATACAAATGGAGGAACGTACACCGGATGGAACAAAGATTGTTCTCAAAATTTGAAAAATGGCTGGCAGAATCGGTAGTTTTTCGAGTGCCCTCCGCCTGCGTTAGCAATAAAATCAGAAATTTAAACGGTCGTCTTTCTTTCAACAAAATTCTGTGTTGTGTTACAAGTCACTTCAAGCGGCCACAAGATTGATTACGAAAAATTCAAAATATACACTCTTAATACAGCAACAATGTCTAACAAAACTTCATCTTCAACCTTTCAGCTACTGTATTAAAGTATACTTGACCTACGATAATGTAGGCCAATGCTCCGCGTATCATTTTTTCAAGAATCCATCGGTCGTATTTGATCCGCCATTTTGTTTTGGGAATTTTGAAATTCAGACTCGCAATCAGCGACCACGAAAACCCTTGCATACAAATTTTCAAATAAATCCGTCACTATTTCTTATTTTGACCATGATTTCGAGCTTTTATACCACCGTGCGCCGTTCCGAAAACAAGCGCATTAATGGCGCAAGGAATAAGACGGTAATACGGAAAAAGGAACGGCTCTGATTTAACCCCTTAACGCGCAGAAATGTATTAACACGGGCGTGCAAAACCGGCCAAAATGTGCAGACCCGTATATATACGGTCGGCGTCGCAACTTATGTCGCTAAAATGTTCAGATTCGAATATATCCGGGCAGTAAAAATAACTTAATAAAAACCAAGGAAAACATTCAATTTATTGATATTCATCGTGTAATTCTGTATTGTAAGCTGTAAAGTTTGTTTATTTGGGATTATAAAATATGGCCTTTTAGGGTGACGCTTATAAGCATCTCTGACCTGGTCATTGTTTCTATCTATCTATATCCATTATTGCGTATCTAATTAGCGTTGGCACTTTTGTGAGTTTTGTTATGACTAATTTATTTATTACTCTCCAGTTATCTCCGATCTCTTCCTATTTTTTGCTTATTCAGGAATAAGCAAAATTTTATACAAATATTATTTATTACAAATATTATTTATTTTTTACAAATATTATTAGGGTCAACATATAAAAACGTTTTTGTTTTATGGTGTATTTTTATAGAGAGTAAATTGGATTTTTAGTGTATAAAAGGTATGTTTTCTAATGTTGAAATAAGGAATGTTGGGCTATGTGCTGCACCTTGTTTTGAAATTTACCATACAAAAGAAAATTTTGAATAGTTTTAGTTTATTATATATTTTTCAGCTAATAAATATTATTATTATATTATTACAAATTTAGGTAAAATTAAATATTTTTCAGTTTTTTTTTCGTCTCCTCCTTCCCCTTCAAAATAGTAACTGGTAATTGAAAAACAGTACGGTGGGTACAAAATTCGATCTGCAATGCGATTCAATATTCACTATAATTATTTATCCACTATTTTTATTGAAATTTTAGTAATTTTTTTACATATTTATTGAAATTAAGGTCCAAATATGTATATTTTCTTAGATAAAAAAAATTGATTTTTTTTTTTAAATTGTGCATTAAGGGGTTAAGAAACCCATCGCGTGGGTTAGCCAATCAGGGTTGTTTAGGAATTTCACCAGGGTAAACGCGGAGATGAAAATTTAACGGGCGTCATTTAATTGCGATCCGTCCGGAGATCAAGATCGCAAAGAGTCGAACGTTTGTATATGTATACTGTACATATATACATATAAATAGTAAAGAACTAACCACTCCGCACAAGAAATGTACAGTTAATGAACCAACCTACCCACAATCACGTGGATTAGATCGGTATTAAAAAATTCAGTGGTTCTGGGAACTGATAATTGCAGAAGTGTTCCCGTACGCGTTGCACACTTGTCATTCACGCCTATTTTCACACACAAGGGTTCTGCGTTAAGTGGATACTCCTGTATGTACATTGAAACCTACAATTCGAATCCAGGCTCGTTACGAAAACGCTCCAATTAAAATTATTTTAACAAGTTAAATAAATGCTTTACATGAAGTAATTAAATCTTGTGACTATGTTATCAATTTTGGAGTAATGTTTCGTTAGACTTTTCGATTTCGTTTATTATGTGGTCGAGTTATAGTGGAAAACATGTTTTTAGCTAAAACATTTTAGGTAAAATAGTTGCGAAGAAACGTTTTTATCGTTATTAATTTTGTGAATAACAATATTCGGCTTATGTCAATATTTAAAATATTCTACAACATTCATCGATTTTGTAATTTACAGTTTCAATGCATTATTGTCAGTAAGAAAAACAAATCATCGATGTCTACAACAATTTCGTTAATTTCACCAATTTTCAAGTTAAATTTAAGAATACTGTGTTTTAAAGTTTGACTCGCCTAGGTATTTCTATTAATAAGTGAAATAAAGTGACGATTATGAAATATTAATAACGAAAGACATTTTTCATAAAAATCAAGACATTTTAGGTTTCCGACATTGTGAGATTCATTTAACACGTTAAACGATCAATATCAACGTCAAAAATTCTTACAAAATCAAATTAATAAAATTGATAAAATCCAAATTAAAAAGTTAACATTTATTATAGTAGACGCTACCTTAACAATTTTGCATTCTAAAAATCCTAGTGAAGTTCAATTTATTCGAATATACTATATAATATAAATAAATGTCTCAACCTAGTGAAAGATTAATGTTACCAATATGTGATCGACGTGGCGCTTAACGTGCGATACATTGTCTACGAAATCCTATTGTATTTTGCATTTCATTTTAAAGCGGAGAATTATAAACGCTCTTTCCGCTTTCCGTGTAATAGCAGTGCTTACCTGGAACTTTCTAACTTGTCTAGCTGCCCTCTGAGTCGGCGTGAGATACTGTTCATTGTCACCGTTATGATTCGAACAATGAACTACGTATTTTCGTGATCTACCAGACCATGTGGTACCGTTAAAAGCAAATGTAGCATGATCACAGGCGCTCGCGGTGCTGCAGGCACTTCCGTAACTTTTTACGCTTTCCACATCGCTGTCATCGGCAATTCCTGTGCTTGATCCTCCAGAGGCCGCGTGTCCAGGACGCGGCCTAGCCGGTGTCAATGAAAGACTCTGAAAAATCAACCATCATTCCATAAGTTTGTAATACACATCGCAAGATGAACATCATACAAATCAGAAGATTAATAACTAGACTGCGGTTCTTTATGCGTTTACGACGACTGCAAATTTTCAAAATACAAAAGATCACGTATATCAATAAGAATCAGTGATATCTTCATTTCATTCTTATTGTGAGGAATTTTTTATACTCGATAAAAGTAGTTCTTCTCTCTTAGTTTAGCTCTTAGAAATTGTTGACAAAATTATTTCACGAGCATCAATTTAATATGCATTTCGAATTACATGCCTGTGTAATTATGTTTGTTGAAGTATATTCCCTTTTAGGTGTTCACTATTATATTAATAGTATTATTAATTTTACGAAAAATTTGTTTCCAGTTATACATTACTTTTGTTAACACGTTTGTTGGTTTTGCCTGAAATCCTGTTCGGAAGAAAGTAAAATTCAATTATAAACGCTTAAATTATTGTGAACTTTAAACTAATTTATCAAGATAACATGTAAACTTAGTTAATCTAGCGTTGCAAATGAATAAACAACGAGGACGACGTGCTACGATGGATCGGTACGGAATTATAATAAACGTAACACGTGTTATGCAGTTTGGTTGCGGTACCGTATTAGATTGAAACACATAAACAGAGAGGAACGCAGTTACTTGTTAAGGATTAAAAAACTGTGAGCATTAATAATTCTTTGAACGATTGTATTACATTCATTTAGTCACAGATAAAAGTTCCCTGATCTCTCTCTCTCTCTCTCTCTCTCTCTCTCTCTCTCTCTCATTTGGAATTATTATATTTTATTACTCGTGTGAAATTCATTAAGGTATTAAGCATGCAAAAATTATGCTCTTAACTTCCAATGCTCACATATTGTAAGAAAATATATGCAGTCATCTTCTATTTCCTTAATCAGGATCTATGTATATCGTACATCAATGAAAGAATCTAACCGTTCTCTCCCGTGCATCCGCTCGTCAAGCTTTTCTCAGAGGATCGTAATTTAAGTAATTTCGTGATGGACATTAATCAGCTGATCAGTAGTAGAGATCCATCTGATAAGAAACAAGGACAAGCCTGCTCTTTGTAACCACAATTTTCAATTCTAATGTGTGCGTTTAATTACTCTCTTTTTAATGCTTCATGGCACGGTTACTACTGAAACTTATGCTACAGTAGATCTGTACTTATTTCAACGAACAAAGCAATTGTAGCTATAAATAATTATGTTAGCTCTNATGTGGTACCGTTAAAAGCAAATGTAGCATGATCACAGGCGCTCGCGGTGCTGCAGGCACTTCCGTAACTTTTTACGCTTTCCACATCGCTGTCATCGGCAATTCCTGTGCTTGATCCTCCAGAGGCCGCGTGTCCAGGACGCGGCCTAGCCGGTGTCAATGAAAGACTCTGAAAAATCAACCATCATTCCATAAGTTTGTAATACACATCGCAAGATGAACATCATACAAATCAGAAGATTAATAACTAGACTGCGGTTCTTTATGCGTTTACGACGACTGCAAATTTTCAAAATACAAAAGATCACGTATATCAATAAGAATCAGTGATATCTTCATTTCATTCTTATTGTGAGGAATTTTTTATACTCGATAAAAGTAGTTCTTCTCTCTTAGTTTAGCTCTTAGAAATTGTTGACAAAATTATTTCACGAGCATCAATTTAATATGCATTTCGAATTACATGCCTGTGTAATTATGTTTGTTGAAGTATATTCCCTTTTAGGTGTTCACTATTATATTAATAGTATTATTAATTTTACGAAAAATTTGTTTCCAGTTATACATTACTTTTGTTAACACGTTTGTTGGTTTTGCCTGAAATCCTGTTCGGAAGAAAGTAAAATTCAATTATAAACGCTTAAATTATTGTGAACTTTAAACTAATTTATCAAGATAACATGTAAACTTAGTTAATCTAGCGTTGCAAATGAATAAACAACGAGGACGACGTGCTACGATGGATCGGTACGGAATTATAATAAACGTAACACGTGTTATGCAGTTTGGTTGCGGTACCGTATTAGATTGAAACACATAAACAGAGAGGAACGCAGTTACTTGTTAAGGATTAAAAAACTGTGAGCATTAATAATTCTTTGAACGATTGTATTACATTCATTTAGTCACAGATAAAAGTTCCCTGATCTCTCTCTCTCTCTCTCTCTCTCTCTCTCTCTCTCTCTCATTTGGAATTATTATATTTTATTACTCGTGTGAAATTCATTAAGGTATTAAGCATGCAAAAATTATGCTCTTAACTTCCAATGCTCACATATTGTAAGAAAATATATGCAGTCATCTTCTATTTCCTTAATCAGGATCTATGTATATCGTACATCAATGAAAGAATCTAACCGTTCTCTCCCGTGCATCCGCTCGTCAAGCTTTTCTCAGAGGATCGTAATTTAAGTAATTTCGTGATGGACATTAATCAGCTGATCAGTAGTAGAGATCCATCTGATAAGAAACAAGGACAAGCCTGCTCTTTGTAACCACAATTTTCAATTCTAATGTGTGCGTTTAATTACTCTCTTTTTAATGCTTCATGGCACGGTTACTACTGAAACTTATGCTACAGTAGATCTGTACTTATTTCAACGAACAAAGCAATTGTAGCTATAAATAATTATGTTAGCTCTCTCTCTCTCTCTCTCTCTCTCTCTCTCTCTCTCTCTCTCTCTCATAATATATATATATATATAATATCATTTATATAATATATTATTAAATACTATTATATATATTATATTTATAGTTATAATTATTAAAAAGCAATAGATGCACTTAATAATAGATTTTTAAGAATATGATGTAAATCTGTGAAGAGTTTCTGACCGTAAAATTCAAGCAACTGTATTTACTAATAATAAAATGAAGTTAAAACTAATTCATAAGTATTATATAATAATACTTTAATAATAATATATTATAATTATTATACATATATGGTATCGCGTTGCAAAAACGGTGATCACGCGAGGCAAAACATTATGTTTTTTCCATTTCCAATGAATAACAGTCACGGAACAATAATGAGTCTGAATAATTGGCAAGGAACAATGCCGTATCCTCAATCACGATCAAGCGTTCGAATTAGATTGTCTAATCTGAAAATTTTATTTTCAACGTTCTATACTAACCGGATGCGTCACGCATGATCTAATTTTATAAATGAGCATACATGAATAATTCGATACATAAACTTATTCTACATTGTTTACGAAGTATTCGAGAATTATACAACTATTTTTATAAGAGTACTTTTGTCAAGACATTATATGTAAGAGGATGTATTGATTCGAGGATCCATGCCATTAGATTTTCGTGTGACGGCTCAAGGCTGGGGAGACTTGAGAGTAATGCTTAAGAGATAAAGGAGTTCGTCGATAGTTGCTTCTAAAAGTATTGGCTATAAATTAGATTTCACCAAAAGAGGAACAACTCGATAGAAAATTTGTCGCAAGCGGTACCAAACTTTCGGCTAATAATTTATAACTAGACCGCGAATCTTTCTGCAAAATGAAAGTTGTCTACGCCAACTATAAGAAGCGGTAACCACTTAGAAGTTACGTTCTTTCTTTAACAATTTTAATAAGTTGAGAATAATGTATCGAAATTCGTAAATTCCTTTAATCTTTCTATTGTCCTGTATTTTTTTTTTTCATTTTTGTCGCAAATGTATAAAATCCGTAAACTATTTATACAAATTTATTCATTAATAATATATCTAATAACTTGTTTGATTGTACAAAATTGAATACAATAAACGTCATATTCTAGATTTGTTTAACACTTTAGTTACCGGAACTTCATTATCAAGTCTTCAACAACTATGCCATGTCTAGAAGCTGAATAATTTTCTCATAAATAATAACCTCAGAAGAGGTTAATAATTTATATTAGAAAAAGTAACTTATTAGCTTGAAAATATAATTGCTATTGAACTATTGAATTATTGAACAATTTACTAAAATATCTACAATTATTTGTGGATATTCAATTATAAATAAGATTAATTACTGGAGAAAGTTTTATTAAAAATCCTTAATTGACTAATAAACAGAAATAAATGTTAAGATTTAATATGTAGTTTTCACTTCAGGAATGTTTGTTGTACAATTTAAAATACAAACGTAACATGTTCAAAAGTGCGCAAAGAAATATGTTGGAACGAATAAGATAATGACAAAATCAATTATTTATACATCCTATCAAGTAAATCACGTCAAACGATAATTTTACATGGTGTTACTACAAGTTATAGTTAAGTCTTGGAACATTCACATCAAACGCAACATACATGCTCTGCAAAAGATATGTCAAGTTATTAGAGAAGAAGAATGTACACAAAACCCAAAATTGACCATTTTTATACCTAGTCAAACTAAGGGTGATTTACCTCGAGCTAAAGCAGAAGCTTTCATGCACGCCTGTATTAGGAAGTCTGGCTTGAAAGTGAGGCAAAATGAAAAGCTCCATCAAGCAGAGGAATGGAGGTCTCTTCCTTAAAGCTGAGAAGCTTGCAGAATCTGTGCGGAAATCATTTTTAAGCAAACGATACGAGAAATCGGTTCATACATATTCCACAGGAGCTTCGATTTTATCGACTTCAATTAAGTAGACAAAATGTACCATTTTCATAATCGATGTCTTAACTGAAATTTTATCTCACAGGTAGCAGTCAAAATTAATTTATAACCGTATTTACCCTTGGACTAAAAAATGACTACTATTACTAAAATGACCCCGGACCGGGTCATTTTGATCCACAGTATTTAAATTGTCACCTAATTAGTCAATTTTCGGAATTATTCATAAAATTAATTGTTGCTAGGAACAAGAACAACATTACTATAATAATTTTAATGTAGTTACATTCTTCTTTTATTATATGTATGATTAAATTGTCTAAACAGTAATACAAGAGTATATTTTTATAGATCAAGATTAACATAGGTTTCTGATATTTTCTTTTATAGTTATAAAAATTATAAAAATCTTTCTGCAAGAAACTTTCTGATCAACTTTTTTATTCAAGCGTATATCATAATAAAAATCGTACGAAGCTATAACCCTCTACATATGTGACTCCGACATTTTTATCCACGTCGAAAAGGTGAGAACAACCCTTATTTTAAAGGCTGTTTTCATCTTCTTAACATTGACCACGGCCAATAAAAACAAAATGTATGAAATATTTTTCTGAGAATTTTCTCTCACAAATTAAAATCGGTGTGTCTAGATTCGATTTATTCTTCCTTGTAAGATTCTGTATCATACGTAACATTTAGTGGTAAATTAAGGATTTTGTACATGTTTTTAGAAGTAACACATTATTATAACACATTATTTATCTATTATTCATCTATTATTCATCTTTTAGTTAAAAACGTTTAACAATATTTCTAAAACAATGAAATACAATTATGCTTGAAAATGAAATGAAATGAAATCATTAGTATTTTTAAATCTTAACGCAAATGGAATTGCTTTGAAATTTTGAACATATTACTTTCTGATTGAAGGTAAATGCCACAATTTAGCTGGGTTAGACTAGTGAAAATATAAAGTCTAAAAATAAGGACCATCCTATTCTATATTAGTCGCGTTTAGTTCTAGCGTTAAATGCAAGAAGTTATATACGAAATTTGTAGTCATTTAATGAGAATTTTATGAGTACGAAAGTCAATATCAACAGTTGTATAAACGTTGTGAAGTATACTTGTCTAAAAAAGATGTATCTTCGTCAACAGCATCCTCGAGTCGACGATTCCGTCACTAGTACCACGTTTCCCTCGTGACCATGAATGAATGATAAAGTGATCTATTAACTTCATTAAGACTCGCAAAGCAGATACAGTCTGCTAAACGATACCATGAAAAGTTCAAAATCTTGGTTTATTAAGTACTGCCGACAGTTATTCGCTAAAATATCCGAACACCTTTCAGAAAAGAACAATTTTTCAAAACTTGGACCAAATTCTTTAAAGTTTCGTTTTACGTTCTGATAAAAAAAGTTGGAAAACCATTTTTAAAATTTCATTTACAATTCCACGTAACTGCGATTTTTGCAACAATTTGTTGAAACATTGTCCTGGAAGTTAGTCCCTCTAACGTCTCAAGCATACTCGAACCAATTGGTCCAATTTTGAAAAGGTTATTCGGTTTTAAATTACGCTCAAACTACTCGTGCCAAGCTGTTTTTACTCGACTCTTCTCACTGGCCATTTGATATTTTATAAAAACTTGTTATATTATATGTATAATATGTATATAATTATTGCGTATATAACAATGAAACAAACTTATTACGACCCAGTCTTGTGGTGGAAATTAATACTTCAGTTTTAAATTTGTTATGAACTATTTTTTTAGCACATTAAGTAAACATGTAAGCATATATAATACTATCGATGGTACATGTGGCACGGAACGTGTTAATAAGTGACTGTTTTCAGAACAAAAGAATCGAAGCTGTTTAGGTTCGAATGCCGTTGCTGTTTGTCAAGGGTTGAAGCGTCGATAACGGGATTGGCTACAATCAGTTTTCTCACGGTAAATACTACGATCTTGCACGGTGTGGGTGAGATATCGTGTACAGAATCGCACAGGCAACAATAGGTCGGTTTCTTTATTACTGCCTCTGCCTTGCTACTTGTAACAGAGGTGTAATTAATAATTCAAGCTTTGGCGAGCTGGCTACCTGATATCTATTCTTTACTGCACGCTCCATCTTCTCTTCAACCACTAACGTCAAACAGGTTTTCTTATCAGAGCTATCGAATGCCTTGGAAATCTTTGTCCTAACTCTCGGAGTATAGTTGTCGAATCATTTTGACCCAGTCTGTTTAATCCTTTGCACTCGGATGATCCCTCTCAATGGGACGCAACGAAACCGCTGCCAATTATGATACTTTGAAGCAGAATTGGGAATTATTCGAATAAAGTTTTATTCAAGTAATATTGCAAATAAATTCTTCGAATGAAATTTTATCCGGGACATATTTCAAATAAAATTATATTCGAATATTTCGAATAGAATCTCCGAATAAACCAAAATTGTGAAAAGAGAACTTCTGACTCTTCCTCTTCACATTATTTTTGGTAAATATTTCGAATAAAATTTTATATAAAATTGTATTGTATTCGAGAATTTATTCAAATTATTATACGAGTAAAATTTGATTAATCGAAGAATTTATTCGAAAAATGCCTAACTTTGCTTTAAAGCAGTAAATTATTTTGTATGCCGAATTCTATTTAAATAGTGTAATTATTTCCAACGTTATATTATTTTATATTTTACTCAAAGCGTTAATTACTGCTTGGTGAGTAAATATTAAATATGTTACTGATAAGAGAACTGAGAAAATCTTCAGAATGCAAAAGCTTCAACATCTAATTACTCTACTATAGTACGATCGAATTTAAATTGCTTTTACGCTAGGAACAGAAATAGGTCTATAAGAAGTATCTCGAAAAATTGATAAAGATAAAAATGCTCCTAAACACCGTGAATTGTATAGTTGTGAAAATGGTCCGCTGTCAGAGTGTTGGTAATACGAATAAATATTTAACTCTGTGTGTATAACGTCGACAATTGGCAAATAAATATGCTAGAGATATGCTTGAGTCAACAGTTTGAACTAATTTCGGAAGGGAAACATAATGCAAGAAACAGTTTGAACAATATCAGTTTTTCATAGTTTCAGCAGTTTCCATGTTGTTTATATGAAAATGTTGGAAAAAGTTGCCAAATGCACAACTGTCCCCTAAACAATGCTCGGTAGATTTTAAATGAATTAGGATCATTTACAATTCTATTTATCACTTATTTTAACATGCATTTTAAGGTACACCTTCTAGACGCGTTGTTTTTCTATAAACCTTAATGAAACGTGTGAAAATTATAGTCGAACAGCAATATTTATATTGTCTTCGTCGTTCGAAAGTTAATTCATTATTGTTAGAAACGTTCGCACGTCGTTTGTAAGGAAAATGTGTTAAACAGAAATCTATTTCTTCCGATAATGATCTTAATGATTCGGATATAATGTGTCTATTGTTTTAGACTTTTCTACTGCTTTCACTACTTTCTATTCATTTTTGCCATAAATCAATAAAATCCGCGATCTAGTTGTTATTTACCACGTGCAGCATTGAGCCACGAATATAATGTCCATAGTCTACTGTTTCCGTAATGTAATCAGTATTTATAAGAAAAAAATTTTGTGCTTTCCAAGTAGAATTAAAACATCAGATAACGCTGATATAATTTCCGTCAATTATATGTGCGGGATCTATTATTTTTAATAATACTTCAATTATATTTCCTTGTTTATTATATATAGTACTTATTATTTATATGTAAATATAATAATTATTTATATATAAATTTATATAATCTACTTGTCTAGTAGATTAATATTCATTTTGTGGTTAAATTGAACGTTTTCTAAGGCACCGGAAAGTGATACATGTTAAATGGTACTTCTTAAATAGCACTACTGTACGGTTTTCTGAGTTTTGAAAATTTTTCATTCAATTTTCAGCTTTTTTCCTTTTCGTTAAAGCATGCTGAAATGAATTTAAGGTCAGTGGAATGAGAAATATATGCGAAAGGCTTTTGAGGGCTTTTTAAATGAATGTTGCATAAGACTTCAAATACCTACAAACTAAAAAGAGACATTTCTAGGCAACGCTAGGAGATTTTCGTTTTCTAAAAATTTATTTCATTTTCAATGTTTTATTATCCACAAATTACTGTTTGTATCCAAAATGAAACCATTTCAAAATGTAGGTCACTATTGCAAAAGATAGCCAGTGTCAATGTAATGTCATCGCGTAATGTCAATATTTTGTAGTGTCATCGTTCTTTCATGCCATTTTCGATTGCACACGCTGAAAGAATAGTAACTGTACTTCCAATACTCAAGAAGTAAAAGAAAATGATAAATCGAGTCATTAAAATTATAATTTGAAAATGCCATATTAAAGTGTAATATGGAATTCAAACACAGAAGCTCGTAAAAAGTGTTGTCAGAGTATTTGAAAATTCTGTTTCTGTAAAGAGATTTATCAAAAGAAAGATTTTCTGTTCATAATTTATGAGATCCTTTTAAGAGAAGTCCAATATTCATCGGAAGTAATGTATCAATATTTGCAACGAATAGGTATAGTTCTCCTTGTGTTACGAATTGTTTATTAAGGTTAAAGAATATAGAAAGTTGTTGAATCCTCAAACTTTTCGATCGTATAGTTTCGTGGATACTTATTGTTGAACGTATAAGACTTAGAGGACAAAGTTTGCCGAAATGTCCGTTTATTTATTATTACCAGCAAGTTATGAACTCGTTCATGTGAAATTTGATAGAATTATTTTGCTTTACATTTCAATTGCACCTGAAACTATATCAAGTCATTCAAATATAAAGCAATTTATTCTTCAAATTTTAATTCAAATAAAGAACTATGATCAAAGGCCAGTGAATTTTGATGATTGATTTTGAAAATCGTCGTTGTTAATCCACGAGTAATAACTATAATGGTATTACGAATGTTTCGCAAAAAATATAAGATATGGAATAATGATTGTACAATATCATAACGTCCAGTAGCGTAATAATAAAAAAATGTCATTTTCTTTTCGCAAATTGCAGAATGTAAATTTTAATCAGTGAACTACTTACGTACGTACCTGCATCAACGCAATGTGAATTAAAGGTCAATGTATCAAATCCATCTGTAGCACGAAATGTTGCAATTTCATAACCAATTATATTCATTTTCATTTGCATGTGCAAAGGTCTACAAGCATATCAATGAATATCCTATATATACATATTTCTCGCAAACATTATTATTATTAGTCTGCAGGTCTCCATGTACTTATGGCATCCGAGGATTCAGAAAATACAAGATGACGTTTATTTAAACAATAAACGTGCATTCTTTAATTCTATCCAAAATAAAAGATATTTTTCTTCCTAATACCCTTAATTTTTATAAAATTACTCAAGAAAATAAGAACTTCCATAAAAAAAAGGTCCATAGTTTACTTATTATTTATGTAGATCTTCCAGGTACAAAGATCTAGGTCTAGAGCAAACGATTAATCTGAAATCCAAGACATTTCTTCCAAGCTACTGTATTATCGTATTATATAATTTTTAACGAACAGACAAAGTAAAGTAAAAATTATTTAAAATTTATTCACTATCTCAGGTTTTGCAGCAAAATCGTTGCCGTACATGTTAGAACCAGCAGAAACGGTCACTTACGGAAAGACGCGACACGCTGACTGACCGACAGAATATTTCCCACAATCGTGGACGAACGCACACAACAATGCCCTATATTGAATCACGGCAAATAAAAGAACCAAGCAAGCACATTTGAAGCACTTCCGGGGAAAGTGGTACCTTCGATCCCCTCCGAGACGGTAAAGGGTAGAAGGAAAGTATAACACTAGTCGATGCACCACAGTAGAACCTTGACTATCCGGACCTCCAATGTCAGAATCATTCGCGATCTAGAACATTTTTCACGTGTAATCAACTGAATCTGATGCAACGTATGTGCATGCAAACCGATTGCCTCGTGCAACTCGATAAGGACGAAACAAAATACTGTACATAAACAACCATTCTACTATCCAAACAGCCGTGGCATCCTTCTTCCGGATAATCAAGATTCCACAATATACCGAGCTTTCCCTGCGAAATCGCCCTACATTTTCAGAGATGCAGAAGAAAGCGCGCAAAGTCGATAAGACGCGATTGCCAGGAGCCAGGACGCATCTGCGATCTGCATCGAACGGAGAGGGTACGGCGCGGCGTAGTATCCCGTAAGGACACACCATCGGGAGTCCGGGTGTCCTGTTTCGGTCGCGCATCGATCGGGAAACAGGTGGTTTTGGCGAATAGTATGAAGAAAAAAGGCGGTTTACTCACGAGGGATCGTTGTCGCGGTGACTCCGTTCCATTCTCCGTGATGACAGGGAAGGTGTGATGGTCCGGATGATGTTGCTGGTGTTGCAGGAAGTTGAAGCGGCGATGGTGCTGATGCTGCCTGGTTAGAGCCGCGGTGACCGCGGTACTGGGTGGTGGTGGTGGTTGATGTGGCGAAACCCGTTCACCCCGCATGCGCATGCTGACCGAGCGACGCAAACCTGTAGGCGAGGGTCGTGGTATACGGGAATCCGGCGAAGAGGATATCGAGGGTACCGAGGGTGACGGAACGGTACCCGTTTCACTTCCTGTCGTGCTGACCAGGCTGCCGCCGGCATTGACCTTGCCCGCAGCACTGTCGTCATTGTATGTCACCGATGCCGACGCTGCCAGCTCCGTCGGCGAACCACCGCCGGCGTTGTTTACATGGGTTGAGCAGCCTGGGTGCATCGATTGCAGGCAGTTTAAGGATCTCTCACTACCGTGCCGAGCCATCTCGATGTCGCACTCGTCATTCTATCCTCATCATTACGAGTCGACACCTGCGAAGCAAATATCAAACGTTGATTTTTGTTTGCGGAGTTTCCTCATTACGCGGCGAAAACGATCGTGGAACAAGAAGTTGAGAATATGGAATGATATCCAAATATTGTGCTATTTTGAAGAATTTAGTAGACTGGAGGAATGGTTGGTAGATATGGAATTGTGTTATTTTAAAGAATGCGGCAGATTAACCCTTTGCACTCGAGTGGCGAGTCTGAGACGCCGCTAAAAATTGTTGTACCATTTTTCGAAATAATTATAACAGTGCCAGATTTATTATATTAAAAAAAACTGTTAAAACTGCAAGTATTGTACTTGCCAATAGGTTCAATATCTTATGCATAAACTGCATTGAAACATATAAAATGGAAGTACTGCACTGTACATACTATATTAAAATAGCTTCGACTGCAACGAATTAAAGGTAAGTTGAAAAATATGGAATTGTGCTATTTTGAAGGATCCAATGAATCGAAGGAAATTTGGGAAATATGGAACAATATTGAAATATCAAAGTATAGAATTGTGCAGTTGAATAAGTTTAATTTTGTGAAATTCCAAATATAGAGTTACTGGTGCGGAGTTTTATTTCATTCGAGATATGGATAAATGATAAATGGAAAAATGTTTTTTGTTTCTTTACGGAAATAATTATTATTTTATTACATTTTTATTTGACTGTATGTTAAATGTAAAATCATAACTAGAGTGTTGTAATTTTATGAAGAGAAATAGATATTTTGTTTATTTTTTTTGAAAATATTGTACCTATTTCCGTAGCTCTATATTTGGAAATCAATTCCATAAATGGCGCACATCACCGTTTCTTAAAGTTACTTCAATATTGACAATTGTTTATAATGTTAGAAGTTTAAAATGGTTCGAAATTGAAGCGTAAATACAAGAATGGCATGCGAAAGACAAAATAGTGAGATCATGAGTAGACTGCGGATTTTTATACAAAAGAAAAATTGTCTGCATCACTTAAAGGAAACAAAGGTTGAACAAAAATGTTATTTCTCTTCTTAATAATGTTAATAAGTTCAGAATAACATGCTAGTACTCATCAATTTTTACAGTGCTTTCTCTGTTCCGTATTTTACTTTTTGTATTTCACTGTTTTATATGATCACGCTGGGAAAGACTAATGGGACTACGTGTCCCCCTTTCAAGAATATACATACATATGTATATGTGCATTACAATACGAATTATTGTATCGTTACTAGAGAAAGTCCATCTCGAGTGGATTGAAATTGGACCAAGCTATTTGAGGTATTCTGAGAAGTCAAAAGGATTATTTGGACGATGATTGAAAGAAATTTTGAAAATTTTCAAAACACATTTTGCAAATTAATGTCAGTTAGAATACATTCTGAAATATTCTTCGAATTTTGGTTAATATTACAATCACGGTCATATACAAGCATCAGGATTACTCGAGTTTATTAGTAAAAATTATTGGAATTATCTTCATAGAAACATGCAAAAAAGAAACGTTCACATTTACGTCGCACTTTTACGGTAAATATTAAAATTAATAAACCCAGTCGACGTTAAAATATCATTTATCAGCATAATCTGTTATAGTTAACATATGAGTTAGTTAACATTAGTTAGATATTCGGAAAAAATTGCAAAAAAAAAAGGCACTACGAGCGTAATATTAAAACTTCATAGAGAGAAGTGAAATCTTGCAAGGATATAACCGATATCTTAACAGTTAATCGACGGTCCATTATAAGCGTTATAAAAACATGGAGTACAGGAAATCTTGCAAATGAAGCTCGCAAAAAACGTCCGGATAAATAAATGCGCCGGGAAGAAAAGATTATTCGTGAAGTGGAAAAGAACTCGGACACATCGGCTGAGAAACTAGCAGACACGGTAAAAATGCTTCTAAGAAAGACATTTACTCTGAGATCAAAACAGAAAAAGGAGACTTGACAAAACTGATAAAAACAATACAGTCTGGGATATCGTAACATTTTCCGATGAAAGCGGATTCAATATGTTCCATTCCGACGAACACTATTATCTGTGTAGAAAAGTCATTACTGAAGTGGAAATGTGAAATTTATACACCACGAAATATTAAATTTAAACACTTTGAATCTTTGATACCAGATGTTAACCTCTCAACGATTACGTTCGTACAAAATACGGACCTGTAATTTTTTACATGTTGATAGAAAAATTAATATTCTAATCTCAATAACATTAACACGATAACATTAATTTTATAATATTAACACAACATTACTATCATATAGATACATCGATAAAAAATTGCAATGTATTCTCTATTATTAAACAAATGAGAGAAAAAAATGTTTCCATGAGATATTTTTTGATAAGCTTCTTTATCCAAGCATACATTGTAAATGATATCATATGAAGTTTGAACAAATCCAATCTTGTCATTGTTCGTGTTATTTTACATTTTATGAATTGCAAAAACCTTGTACAGAATGTGCGCTTTTGGGCACAGATAATCCACATTATTAACCACTAGGTAAACCACTATATAGTAAACAGAATAATTTACGGAACCCGTCAAAATGAAGGGTCATTAATTATGAGTTATTTATTCAATATGCATATGTGCTATTTGCGGTAAATATTACAGCAACACTCGTCAAAAATCAGAATTAATGTCTTATTGTTACTTTTATAAACGAATATAAAGCAGCTGTTTTTAGTGTTCCGTAAATCTAGTATTAAAAATCCACAAAATTAAACAAATGTGTATATAGAAAAATATACGATTGTAATAAAAAATATGAAGATGAGCATGAAATCTTTGAAAATTCTCTGCCTGCAGAAAAGATTATTACCATCATATTATAGATCTTCCAGAATTGAATAAGTTTTGTTAATAAAGTTTTTCGATATCTCCAAGAATAACAGAGATATTTAGGTGGTCCACTTTAGCTGGGATACCCTGTATATTGCAATAAATTATTTAGGCACAACTAGTTTTCCTTATACATATAGCTCCTTCGTTGATTGGTTGAAACAATTTAGAACTATGTATGTCTCGAATTTTTTGTTCCGATCAAAGAAACGATTTTGACAAGCTTTGGTAGATCCGGACAGAACTACGTCGAACTTCGAACTTTGAACCGATCAGAACCATTGAAAAGAACAGTCACCATTGCGGATGTACATACAGTGTCCAGTGAAAATACTGTCTAGAACTTGACAATTGAACTTTGCGACTTTTGAACTTCGTACACATATTTCATTGTTACCGCATTTACACACAGTGCGGTAAACAAAGTGTTACAAGAACAGAGCTTGCAACACTCGATTCACCGTGCATATTCGATTTGCTGCTAACAAACTTCAAGTGTTGATTGTTTCTTTGAATCAGCAACAATATTGGACAATGCTCGTCCGGTATATTTTATGAAAAAGAGGTACGTTTAAGAATGGTGATTTATTAGCTCGTGCGGATTTTTTGACTATTACATTTTTCAGCTACCTTGGCGAAGTGTTGAATACATTTGCAGAATTTGGATGCAAAGTGGCCCATCTAAGGAGACTAATAAAATTTTATTACTTCGCTTAGTATGATCGTCAACATTGGCCATAGACGTGAGGTGCTCTGCGGAAAAGTCTGCCTAATTTAACAATGAACATTCATCGGTTCTTTTTTATATCAATCTTTTTGTCAATCTTTCACACTCGTGATAAATTGCTGCAATGGGACAAATTGAATTTAAAAAATGCGGGGGGTGAAGGTTAACTCGTATAGATTTTTACTGGCGCGTTTCTCGGCTACCTTGAAGAGGTGTCAGATATGATTCCACAGTTTCGATATAGGTTGTCGCAACTAATGTTGGATGTTAGGTATGTGAAGCATACTTCATCGATGTCTGTTACCGACTGGAAAACTGAGACGAAGTTTTGTTGTTTCGCAGTGCGCAATACTGCAATACTCTAAGAGTGGTTCATCCAAAATTGATTCGTTTCAAGAACGATTGACAATATTATTTGAAACTGTTTTTGTATGTTAGTTATAGCTGTATCAACTTAAGTACTTTATGTACTATGTGATGCGCTATGATTTTTATACGATTTATAATATAGATATAATGTAAGTATTAGTAATAAATCTGAATGGCATTGATATAATTCGTATATGATATTAACCCTTTGCACTCGAGGGCTCCGGAGCGGAGCCATTTAAAATTTGTCTTCAAACTCGAGGGCTCCGCTACGGAGACAATGCAAATAATTTTCAGTTTTTAACATAAGAACAAAAACAAATCGTAAAAATTAGTTATAGGATGTTTCGCTGTTGGTGACAAATGACGTTTGTATCCATAAACAATGAAAAAAATAATAACATACAACGATGACTTTTCTTTTAATGCTTATATCATGAACTTACATGTGAATATGATCTTTTCGCTAAAATGGCTTCGAGTTGCTGGTAATATGACTCAAAAAAAACTTCGAGTGCAAAGGGTTAAATCATAACAGTAACATAAAGAATAGACAACTTTTCTACTATACTTTATCATTCTAATCAGTGCTGAAAGAGTTAATATCGGCTATTCCTTTCTCAGAAATTTTTGAAAGAATAAGAGCATGTATCACTTTCATCATTAAACCAGTTAGCTGTTTCTGACGTGTATACTCGTNGTTACCGCATTTACACACAGTGCGGTAAACAAAGTGTTACAAGAACAGAGCTTGCAACACTCGATTCACCGTGCATATTCGATTTGCTGCTAACAAACTTCAAGTGTTGATTGTTTCTTTGAATCAGCAACAATATTGGACAATGCTCGTCCGGTATATTTTATGAAAAAGAGGTACGTTTAAGAATGGTGATTTATTAGCTCGTGCGGATTTTTTGACTATTACATTTTTCAGCTACCTTGGCGAAGTGTTGAATACATTTGCAGAATTTGGATGCAAAGTGGCCCATCTAAGGAGACTAATAAAATTTTATTACTTCGCTTAGTATGATCGTCAACATTGGCCATAGACGTGAGGTGCTCTGCGGAAAAGTCTGCCTAATTTAACAATGAACATTCATCGGTTCTTTTTTATATCAATCTTTTTGTCAATCTTTCACACTCGTGATAAATTGCTGCAATGGGACAAATTGAATTTAAAAAATGCGGGGGGTGAAGGTTAACTCGTATAGATTTTTACTGGCGCGTTTCTCGGCTACCTTGAAGAGGTGTCAGATATGATTCCACAGTTTCGATATAGGTTGTCGCAACTAATGTTGGATGTTAGGTATGTGAAGCATACTTCATCGATGTCTGTTACCGACTGGAAAACTGAGACGAAGTTTTGTTGTTTCGCAGTGCGCAATACTGCAATACTCTAAGAGTGGTTCATCCAAAATTGATTCGTTTCAAGAACGATTGACAATATTATTTGAAACTGTTTTTGTATGTTAGTTATAGCTGTATCAACTTAAGTACTTTATGTACTATGTGATGCGCTATGATTTTTATACGATTTATAATATAGATATAATGTAAGTATTAGTAATAAATCTGAATGGCATTGATATAATTCGTATATGATATTAACCCTTTGCACTCGAGGGCTCCGGAGCGGAGCCATTTAAAATTTGTCTTCAAACTCGAGGGCTCCGCTACGGAGACAATGCAAATAATTTTCAGTTTTTAACATAAGAACAAAAACAAATCGTAAAAATTAGTTATAGGATGTTTCGCTGTTGGTGACAAATGACGTTTGTATCCATAAACAATGAAAAAAATAATAACATACAACGATGACTTTTCTTTTAATGCTTATATCATGAACTTACATGTGAATATGATCTTTTCGCTAAAATGGCTTCGAGTTGCTGGTAATATGACTCAAAAAAAACTTCGAGTGCAAAGGGTTAAATCATAACAGTAACATAAAGAATAGACAACTTTTCTACTATACTTTATCATTCTAATCAGTGCTGAAAGAGTTAATATCGGCTATTCCTTTCTCAGAAATTTTTGAAAGAATAAGAGCATGTATCACTTTCATCATTAAACCAGTTAGCTGTTTCTGACGTGTATACTCGTCATAACACAAAATGTTGCCATTTCTTCACGACAAGCATACTCGTCAAAAACAGCTAGTTGATTAAGAAGGATGTACACTATATACTTTCATATTCTTTTAAATTTGATTAATATATTAAATTTGAAATATATTATACTGTATTAGAAGAAATTTTCTGAAGAAAATCAAACGTATACATTATAATTACATTAACTTACCCATTTTTCAAAAAGATTGCAGCAGCTAACTGCTTAATAGTAAATGAAAAAGTTCTACAGCAAAAGTTTGAACTTCGAAAAGAAAAACAGAAATCACAGAACAATAAAGATCGATGAAGTAGCAAACTTAATCGAATGAATCGAAGATGCGCAACGGGAAACGTTGTCGATGTTTCAGAGAAATCAATTTCATTAGACCTAAGAAAACTTGAGTGACAAATAAGTAGGTATAATGTTTCGGTTGCACACTTATCTTCCACCTTGGCAACGCATGACGGCACACATATATCATGCAATGACATGACGAAAAATTTGCAATTTGCAATTTGCAAATATTCTAGTTTCTTTAGCTCGCTGAAACATAGTTCGGATAACAGAGCATCGTCAAAAATGTACAAAAAATAAATGTGCAAGAATTTGAATTATTATAGCAACAAAAAGGAAACATTCACATTCTAACATAGTAATATTTAAATTATCAAATTTAGGTCGATTACAAAATTATCAGAAATGTGACAGTTTATGCATTCGAAATGATACATACTATATTAATTAATCAAGTTTTATACGAAATTAATAATACTTCGTGTTCGTGCACAAATAATGCGAGCTTTATCGTGATATCTAATAGCAATCCGTTAACTAGCGAAAATCTTAACATCGATTTATGCACTGTTTCAAAGAATAAGTAATGCAACTACAATAATTGAAAGGCGTGGCGTTTCCTACGGAAAATGGTATTAGTCTGGAAATGGTAATCTATTGACTAGTAAAGATTCGATCGTCATTTCTAAGAATGACGATCGAATAAATTGTCATAGATGATTGCAAAGTTTATGTACGTTATGTAAATTGAGTATTTGATCTTAATGTTAGTCACCTAAATTTCTTAACGCTTTATCTACCGAAAGTAGATCCTTGTCATACCTTGACGAGTCTGACACATGATGGAGATTTCTAGTAATAACCTGTTAAGTATGAGTGCTATTTCGTTCTTTGTAATCTGAATGAAATTCTGATTTCTTGTCATCAATATTTAAACATTTAAGTAAATGTAGGCACACAATAAATGTAAATTATCTCTTTCCTTTTTAGACATTATTACAATCGAAAAACTTCTAATCATTGTAACTATGAAGAAAATGGTATGACAAGGAGTTAATAGAATTTTCAATTATTCTGTTGTACTAAGAAGAATCTTAAAACGCTCTTTCTACATGACAATCTCAAATGAAAATATTAGTTTTTTTAATTGGGAGTGACCTGCTAGTACATGTCTGAAATTGTTATTCCCATTAAACAATTTATTAATTCTTGATTGTAAATTGCAAATCCTCAAAGATTAGGAAATCATCGCCGGTAGATAATGCCTTAAGTCGAAAGGAAGTAAACGTTTGCATATTTCGCTCACAATTTATGACGTTATCAGAAAATAGAATACGTTGCCTAGAATATTTGTGTTTATAATCTTCTATAATTATATTTACACTAGGGATAAATATGTCTCTCTTAAAAAGAAAACTAATAACAAAATTTTGATTTTCATCGAAAAGTTAATACATTCTGACGTATGCGAACCTTTTCAACCCCGTTTTCAAAATCACTAAATGTTGTTTCCCTGTGTCAATGCATATTTTTCCTGTTGCATGCTCTAGCAGTCGTTGCAGAGAAAGGAACGAAGTAACCTTCAACTCAGAATATTAAAGTTATACATTATTTTCATCGACGACGTGTCACGAACTTATCGCAGGTAAAGCATTCTGCATAGAATATATTATCACAGAATGAGGTTGCTATTAACGTTTCGTCGTTAAAATTATCAACTATTTTACGTAATAATACTATTTTGTAAAAAGATCGTTATACGGAGTGATCCGCGTAATTGTGTCACATGTCACAGATTATAATTAATTTTAAATTAATGCAAACAATTCCGTCACCAGTTACAGATAAATATCATAGCAGAGAGATGAACGTTTCGACGACTACCACACACTTATGGAACCATGTTCTTAAAACTGCATCTGCGCGTGTGCAACCAACAAATGCATTATTCGAAAAAAAAACTTTCTTACGGAGATTCCCTTCGCAATTATTTGTGTAAAGTATTGAAACATAACGATATAATCATCAAGATATCTAAAAAAATGCCTGACTGTACTAGTATATGATTGTAAAAGTATTGTACATAATGTTTGCATGTAATGACTGTATGTAATGATTGTGTGTAATAATTGTATGTAAAATTCTAAAAACGACATTGAAATATCACCTCGGAAAAGATTGTAAAACAATTGACATTAAATATATTTTCTTGAACCTTAGATCTATCTATGTGACAAAATTAATCAGGAGTCTGTATCAACTATAGCTATAAGACTATGTGCATACGACTGAGTAAAAAAACCTGCTGTTGCAAAATAAGAATATAAAATAATAAATACTTACTCGGCAGTATTTCTCGTACCTGCTATCGCTGATATCAAAGCGATAGCGGGTTCGTGTGTACGTAAACGAAGTGTTCCAATAAACACTGAAAACAACGGAGTTCATTTTAATTTACGTTCCTTTTTTCCTTTATGTCTGTACATATATTACTGTCTAATATATACGCTTATATTAAGCAGAGTAAGATTGAAATGCATGAATGCGAGTAGACCCGAAAAGCTTTCAATGTCTCTGTTTGTCTATCAGTAGAAATGTTAATATGTAAACTATAGACGAGTTTTTCTTTTTGTCGTTCCATTCTTCGACATTATAGAAATTGTTTTACATTTTGAAACGCCTTATACAGGGTGTTCCGCATTTTTCCATACATACTTCGGCAGTGTGTTGCACAAGTGAAGATAAGACTAAAAAATGCTACATAACAAAGAGTCCATAAATGCTTTGTTGAGAAGTTACGACAAAAATAAGAAATGTGAAAGATATGATGACGTACTAAAAGCTAATGTACTATGCTAACGTACAAGAAAGTAATTAATTACAAAAATCAACATCGTCTGCGGGAAGATTACAGACCTTTTATTATGTAACGTTTTAGTCTTATCTTTACTTGTAGAACACGCTGCCGAGATATGTACGGAAAAATGTCGAACACCCTGTACAATCAACTTTTCAGTTAAGATTGCAATGTATTTCGAAACAATTGAACCTAACATATTATGAGATTATTTTTCTATTCAACCGTACTACTGATTTCAAGGTACGAGTCATTATCTACTCGGACTGAAAAGCTCTATCGTAACCATGCCAGATTTAATCGCTGCGTTGTTATGCCATTTCTTCCCATCTATTGATTCGCCTTGTTCGACTAAAGTGATTAACTGACTTGCCGCTGCAGAGACCTTTGAAAGCTTTCGCACAATTTGATATTCATGTTGCATCGATTCTTATTAGATTTGGATACTTTTCGAATAAGGAAAATGAAACGTATGATATTTACGCGTTCATGCATGAGTAGATTTTTCAAAAGCAAGGAAACGTAAATTAACAAGGTCTAATAGCATTTTCGTTTTCTTTTTGCAATGAGTGATTCTTTAGTTGACGGAAGCTTTTCTAATTATGATTTTTGCAAAATGACATATATGAAATTTAAGATTTACATAAAGATCTACACAATAATATTAATAATAACTTAATTTGCTCGGTTGAAAGCAGATTTCTGACTGTAACAGAATTAGATTTACCATTTCAAAAATATTTTTTTGACCACTGTCTTTTGTACATCATTACTTCGTGACGACCACTATGCACGTTGCGCTTGATAAAGCAATCGCAGAAGCATGTCTGAAGACACCGATAATATTTTAAATATTTTTCACAACGTGCAAATACACTTATCACACCATTTCTGAATTTTTTTAAATCCACCGTTAATACATAAGAAAGAATTTTTGCGCACCTACTCTACAGTACCTTCTTATGATATTGTATAATATCACAAAATGTAACAAAAATATTAAAATTGTGTATTATTCATTAATGATAATTTACTCAGAGTTGTGAATTATGTATTATCTATTCTATTTAATATTATTTTCAACACTCTATCACTTTATATCTTCAACCGTCGAATGGCAGACGTTGGGTAATTTTGACCCAGAGTATTTAAATCGTTCACTCAATTACCCAATTTTCGGCATTTAAATAAAATAAATTTCTGTTACATTAGGAACAACGGAAGGGCTGCAAGAAGTACCTTCAAAAATATGTTTTGGAAAATTACCGAATAAAGCTCAGAATTGTTATAAGCATTGTCAACAGTGCAGTTGTGAAAATGGTCCGCCATCCGAGAGGGTTAAAGCGTTACTTAGTATTTATTCCGCGAATAAATACTTTCGAGTTATTGGTAGGTGAACCAAGAAAATTTTCCAAGTGTAAAGGGTTATGTTCCTGATATATTTAACGAGTCCTGTGAGATTGAAGAAGAAATTGGTGACACAGAATGGCTTTTACGTGGAAACTAAAAGTTCACAGCATTCTTACTGCATATATGTCTAATTGCAGCGTTCGTGCAAAATGAGTCAGCGAACTTAGTGCATTCATTAGAAGCAAAAACTAACGGCAATGTGTGAACCTTTGTTTCGTGCACTTTATTTATCCTAAGTTGCTTCCGAGATCTAACGTTGCTTCAACGACCACGGTCATTTGTAGAATGCGGATTTTTACGCATTTGTGGCATGTGTAACTCTAAAATACAAAAAATGCGAACATACCAACAAAAATTAATTATGACATTGTTTCATGTTTGCCAGAAAGTATCTCATAAATGATGCAAGGAATTCGTATCTCTTCCTCAGACTTTTACAAATAATTCATGAAAATAAGAATTTCAAAAACTAGTCAAAAGTAGATCTAAATAATCTTGAGTAAAATAGACAATTTTTGCTTTTTGAAACAGTTGAATATATCGAAAACAATATACGAAACAATATAAAGCGTTGTGCTTTGTTAAAAGTACAGAATTTTTGCGATTCTGTCCCTCTTTCCAATCATTTATGGATTACTATTCACTCATTAATGATATATAAATAAATAAATAAATAAATAACGATATAATGATATATATATATATCATTATTTATTTATTTATATATCATTAATGTGTGAATATATATTTATAAAAAATTTATAGGGATATAAAATACCTCCTTTTTTCTGAATTTTTATATTATTTAATAAACGAACGTTGCAAAAGTAAAGATGTTATAAACTACATCTATGAAAATAAATTATGCCAAAACTTTTCTTTACAGAGGTCTTTTAAGTAAAGGCGTACGTAATTTATCACGTTCAATGTGACGATAGTTGTTTTCCAACGAGTAAC